ATTATTCAGGTAGATATATTAAATATTTATTTATATTTCTAGAATGAGTATTCTGTTATAATAATGCGTTCCAATTATAGGCACCACCTCGTAGTGCCTCATCTTATTACAATTACAAAGGGAGCCACAGCATAAACTTGCTTGCGATATGTGACGCATTCTAGATTGAACCGATTTCTCGTCGTCAATATTAGAGCTCAGGGCCGACAAAGTGATGGAGGTGTCTTCGATAATAGTGCATTATCTCATTTATTTGAGACGCATTCACTCCATATCCCTCCATCCTCACGTATAAAGAATAGTGAATTTAAATTTCCATACGTTTTACTAGGAGATGAAGCTTTCCCTATCAGCACGTATATGATGAGACCGTATCCTCGAAGTGGCAATTTGAACACCAGAAAAAAAATTTTCAATTATCGTCTCAGTCGTGGAAGGACTATCGAATGTACCTTCGGGATTTTAGTTGCGCGATGGCGACTTTTCCGGCGACCTATTATTGCGTCTACATCCACTTGCGTGAAAGCTACACAAGCAACTGTTATTCTACATAATTTCATAATCGATCGAGAAGTTAACTTATCAGCACGTGAAAAGATGTACTCCATAATGCGCGATGAAGACCGTAATCTGTTGCATACTAGTACTGGTCTAATAGACATAAACAATAGCAATGTATCGCAAAGCCGAGAAGCATCGAAAATTCGAGATAATTTTGCTCACTACTTTGAATGCATCGATCCATTATCTTGGCAATTCAATAAAGTATTGAATAATGACTTTTAAGTAATGTCGAGATCTACACTTTAACTTTAATTACTCGAATACAATTTTTCCGCGATTTTTTATATGATACTTGAAACAATCCATTCTCTTTTTCTCTCTCTCTCTCTCTCTCTCTCTCTCTGTATAGAATCTTGTTGTTTATGCAGATTTGCTTAGTAATATAAAAAATAAGGATAAAATAAGGATAATATAAAAATTTATTGGTAATATAAGAAATAAGGATAAAATAAGGTCTAAAATAAGAATAAAAAATAAACTTAAGTTAAACTAAAGAACACTTTCTTAATTTATTATTGCAAAGTAGTTTTGTCATAATACATATGTACATACGCAAATATTATGATCTATGTTAATCTAAATGTATCACTTATTTTAATTACGGAAACGAATACTGATCATTTTTAGGCCGTAATCACACTACAGGTTGTTGGTTACGATTGCTGGTTGTCGGTTCTATTTTCACCAATCATGTTGCAGCTAACCTACACTCGCTGCATCATGATTGGCTAAAATAGAACCGACAACTAGCAACCGTAACAGACAACCTGTAGTGTGATTACGGCCTTACACAGTTTGCCAGGTACACTACTTTCACTCTATCCTCTCTCGAAAGTATGAGAAATAGTTACAATATTTTGCTGAGATCCAAATAAGCTATGTAATATAATACGCGTTATTTGTAATGTTATGAGAAATAAAATATAAAAAAATAAAATTTAATATTAAAACATAACGCAATTATGGAACAGATCTTTTCAATAATAACATATATGTGACTGAGAGCATTATTACACGTTCTTCTCGTTGAGCATCTTGTCTTCTTCTTAATTTTCTTCAAAAAGTATTAATTTATTCATCAATTTTTATACTGTCTCCTTCAAAGTAGTTCCCCTATAATACAATACACTTCTGCCAACGTTGTTTCCAGCTTGCAAAGCACTGTTGAAACGCCTCTATAGGTATTGTCTTCAGCTCAGCCAGCGATTTTTTCTTTATTTCCTCTATCGTTGAAGAACGTCATTTAGGGGTCCTTTTGAGTTTAGGGAATAGGAAAAAGTCACAAGGGGCCATTTCTGGAGAATAGGGAGGCGCGGCATCACAGTGGTTTTGTGTTTCGCCAAGAATTGTGTGATAATTAATGCGGTGTGTGCCGGTGCATTGTTATGGTATAGTATTCAAATGAACAATAATAAACGATTTCTTCTGTTTGTTGGAAATATATTAAATAAAATTAGAATGTACTTTTTTTTTATTGTTCTTAGGCGATGAACAGGTGCTGTGGCGATTGGACTCACTGCGGTTGTCAGATGACTTAGTGTCATATTCAACACTATCCAATGTTGAACACGATGCTGATACGGAGACATTCGCATCGAAATCTTTAAAATAATCGGAACTGGTTGATGATGATGGCAAAAGGTGTTGCAGAGAGTTGATGGTCCTGCAATATAAACAATCATATAATTTGATGAACAGTTTAATAAAATATACTTTCTGAATTAGTAAAAATTAGTAATAAAGAAATAAGAATTAGGATCAAGGAATAGAATTTACAAGTATTGAAATATTGAATTCTTAATCATTTCTCGTTTTCTGGGATATAGAGTAAATACGTACGGCACTGTAGATACAGTATCATCGAGAAACCTCATTCTCTCGTAATGAGAGAACGAATTTTTCGGTGGATGTGCAGCTTCAGCCCCAGAGCCGCTGCGTACATAGCCTTGCATTTTCTTTCTGGCTTTAATATATGAGTCACGCAGTTGCTTCCATTTTTGTTTAGCCATCGCCACAGTTAACGATCCTACAATTGACAAAATTAATCATAAATTTTCTTGTTAATTATATTTAGAAGCATACAAATATATACATGTAAAAGAATGAACAACTATAAAAATAAAATGTTATTACCAAGTATGTTTTCTATCTCTTGCCAAAGAGCATCTTTTTTCAGCTTTGTCCTGTTCTTCACGGGAATCGTGTAGTCCCACAAGGCTCTTCGTGCATGGACTAAATCTATTAATATTTCATCCAGATTTGATGATGAAGAGAATTTGTCAGAGTTGTCAATTTCCTCAACTTCTTCGTCTGATGTCTCCTGCGTGCCTTTGATCTCATTGATCTCTTCAACTCCATCAACTAATCCCTCCTGCTCGTCTTCAATATGATATCTTTTTTCTTCAAATATATAAATAATTACACATTATTATACATATATATTTGCACTGTACTCGTATATGTATATTTAATGATATACATACCAAATGAAAATATTGTAACTTACGCATTGTGACAACCGCTTTGCTGTCTACATTAATAGCATGCAGATTTTCATTAAATGTTGAAAAACAATGGTGTGCAAGAACGTTTGCGCAAGAACCATACATAATGTAGGAGCAATAGCCACACTTCAATTTCTGATGCAGAACACGATTAAATAATTAATCTATACTATTAAATTAAAAATACGTAAATAATATAACAATTATAACCTCTACGCTGAAGTTGAGGTTAAAGACATACTGTCAGCAACATATTAAATATTCAAAATTGCATGCAATTGATTCTATATACATAATATAAATATTACATTTATGAAACTATCAAATTATATAAATACGTACAGGATTATTCATTTTAAAATAACTTCTTCTAACGACTGTTCTGTTTATTAGCATACATTCAAAGAATTAGCAGATTCCGTCTTCCGCTTAAGCACGAGGGAAGAAATGACGGAAACGCGAAATCTAGTTACTTTCTATTCCGCTTTTCCGCTTTTCCGCGTTTCCACGCTCCATGTAATCGCACCCTGAAACGCGAAACGCGTCCTCGGATTGACTTACGACATTTGACACATTGACTTAAAACAATCTTAAATGTAAGAATCGACTATGAATACCGACCTGTTTCGCGTTATGAAGTTGGTACTGAATCCTTTCTTACACGAGGAAAGATTTAGTACCAACTTCATAACGCGGAACAGGCCGGTATTCATAGTTGATTCTTACATTTAAGACTGTTTTAAGTCAATCTTAAGATGTCGTAAGTCAATCCGAGGACTGTATTAACATCTTAAGACATTATATTTAAGATGGTTATAAAATAAAAACGAACTATGAATACCGTCCCATGTTTCGCGTTTCACAGTTGGTAGACTGCGCACTGAGAGCATCTGAGCAAAAGTAGGCGTAGTTTGGCTAAACTGAGCACACCATGTAATCCTTCCACCATGAGAAAGACTAAAGGTGCCGTCACATGCGGCGTAACCTGCGTTAGCGTTATCTATGTATTCTAGTAATTTACTAGAATACGTTATTTTTTATTTACTAAAATACGCCATTCTAAAAGCCGGCATTCACATTGGGCGTATTTCGCGGAAGATTAGAGAAATGCGGAACTAATACAACCAATTGCTGATTAGAATTTCTGTTGTACACTCTAAAGAAATGCTAAACGAATTTACGATTGGTTTTCGTAACTTACGCAACTCGAAAAATACGCCTCATGGGGAACCGGCACCTTTCCATCGCGTATATATGAGCAGATGATCGAATAAATTATTAAAATTGGAAAATTTTGTGAGACCACTCTTAGGCTTATTCGATGCGTTTTTGCATAAAACGAAAGAATCTGGCAAAAAAACGTCGTTCTGCCTTGTGATCTGAGATATTAAGCGTTAAAGTTGATAACTATTGAGGTTAGGAAATCTGTCACAGAGGCAAAATGAGGTCTATAATTGTACTATTCCACATGGGTTCGATTTTTCACGCGATGTAAAGGGGCGCATGATTTCTATAATTGTATTGTTGCAAAATCGAAACCCTTGTGCATTTTTTCAGACAATAAGCTAAAGTGAGCCAGAAATTAGATTCAACGCATGATGGTTCTATCATGTTTCGGCGTAACAACAAAATAGCGTAAAAAGCATAAAGTGACTAGACAGAAACTAATGTTCAAGTGAAATGATATGAAGTGAAATGATTGGTCGGCGCAAGTTACGCTTACGAAAGTTACGCCGCATGTGACGGCACCCTAAGGAGACTCCACTCAGTCTAGCCAGTCCTCGATAATCGGACTCATTTTGCATTTCGAGTTAAGTTTCGATTCTCGACATTCGCGGCGCTTGTGAACCTTTAAGACCTGCGCGTAATGAATGCGCCGTAGGAAAAAGTGTCACGAAACTTAACCCCTCCGTGAAGGTGATTTGATTGTCTCGTCAAATCGGAAAGAAGACAGTTATAAATTGAGCCTAATGCGGGGTCTACAATGCGATCGTAAACTGATTTTAGAATCGTAACAGCAGTCGTAACCAAAGACATAGAGAATAGACTGCGCGATCCGTATCTAAGTAGTGTATCAAATGTGGTCGACAATAATGAGAGAGAGGGACCGTGGGAGACGGTCAATCTCCCTCTCATTCTCTCTCCCATTACACCATTGACTAGAAAGAGATAGAAATGGCCGTCTGCCACAGTCCCTCTCTCTCATCCCTATCGACTATTTTGACACACGGATCGCGCAGTCCATTCTCTATGTCTTTGATCGTAATATAGTTCGTTTCTGATCATAGAACAGTCGTATTTGTAGTCGTTTGGGTTTGTTCAATTCTGTGGGGTCTACAATGCAGTCGTAAACTGGTCTTAAGGCCATTCTACATTGGTCGTATCGTAGCGTCGGAAGCGTCATAAGCATCATACGACTTAAAAATTGAAGCATCGGATTGGGTCAAGCAACAAACTTGTGACTTGCAACGTCTACGATACGACCAATGTAGAATGGCCTTTAGAATCGCAACAGCATTCGTAACATACTTTAGGCCTATTCTTTTTGGCTGAACTTTTGCACCAGTTCATCTCTCTTCCTTTTCTCTCCAGGAGGAAAGAAGGGGAAGAAAGATGAACTGGTGCAAAAGTTTAGCCAAAAAGAACAGGCCTTTTGTTTCCGGTCGTAGAACAGTCGTATTTGTAGTTGCTCGAGTTGGTCCCATTCCTATTCCAGCGACTGCGGTCACGACTGTCGCTGCGATGGACCAATCAGAAGAGAAGTGTCTATGAACAACGTATAATTCTTTCATCGTTGTGCATACCACAGACTAGTATATATTTTGTCTATGGTGCATACAGACGGCAGTAGTTATATACATTTTTAAAAAAGAATCGATTATCGTAATCATTTAAATTTCACAAAACAGAGTTTACGATTTAATTAATCGGGAATTAATCGATTCTGAAGAATCGATTAAAAATTTTGAAATATATAAATAGGCAGCGTTAGTAAAAAAAACATGTTGTAAACAATTTAAAACGTGATCAATCGAGATTTTTAATATATTTTTAATATTTTTAACTTTTTTTTTGTATTGTTTAAAGTCTTTTGCACGCCCTACAGTAATCATTTTATATAGATTATAATTTATGATGGCGTTACTTATTACAGTGACATCCTTATTACAGTGATCCATTCAACTCACAATAATTTCATTAATATTAACAGTAAGAAGGTGAAATCATAACACAAGACTAATGTAACATAAAGACATGTAACAGAGTAGTTACGAGGAAATTACCTTTAAGTAGTATAGCGAGGCGGGTTCTGGTTAATCTGTAGACGAGGGGAGTGCGGGGCGCGGGGGGTACTTGAGGACGCGCGGGGGAAAGCGCGGGGCGTGCTTGATGGCGCGGGGAAAGAGGCGGGAGGCGCTGGAAGGCCCCGGCGTTATCGGATGTTTACATAAATACCCGAAAAAATGCGTTTACCGGCCGCCGCCGCC